CGCTCTTCCTGTGCTGGGGCTCCAGAGCTGGACACAGGACCCCAGGTGAGGTCTCACTGGGGCAGAGCAGAGGGGCAGGATCACCTCTCTCCATCTGCTGGCCACGCTTCTTTTGATGCAGCCTAGGATTTGATTGGCCTTCTGGGCTGCTGCTGCACATTGGTGGCTCATCTCCAGCTTCTCATTTACTAGTACTCCCGAGTCTTTTTCCAATGGGCTGCTTTCTAACGTGTCTTCTCCCAGCCTGTATTGGTAATGTTGGTTGCCCCTCTCCGGGTGCAGGACCCTGCACTTGGAATTGTTACTTCCTCAGTGAGGAAATAAGCATAATCTGCAATCTTTATGTAGCATATTTTAATATAAATAAGCAAAAATGCCACAGGCAGAGTAGATACTGTAGCTAGTCTCTCGAGTAACAGCATATTGGCATTTTTCTTACCGTTTCCCACGGGGATAGTGTCGTACATATTCTCCCACATCATGAGCAGCTACAGCCAGCACTTGTGGGTCATCAGAAACCTCCAGAAGTTTTGTCAGGATTCTAGGAAAAGATTTGAAACAATCAAGTCCCAGGGTTTTTGTTTGGTTTGGGTTTTTGTTATTGTATCAGTAATGTAAAAAAACAAAAAAGTCTGTAACCATCAGAATGCTTTACAAGTCATCCAAACAGCAAAGCTAGAACAGAACTTCTTTCCAAATGTGCAGTTGCACTTAAAACAATGGAGATCTTGCTCTGATTAACAGAATTATTAAAAGCATTCACTAGAGAGTTTATTGAGCAGCATCTACAAATACCTATAACTACAGTTTACAAAACATGTCCTTTTTTTATATGTTGGCCTCAAGACCAACAGTTCTGAGTTCAAGTTAAATTGTATTAACTCAATATACAAATATTTATAGTCTGGGACAGGGGTGGGACACAAACACAAAGCACACACAAGGCCAACAGATGCTGCTGCTTCTGTCACACAAGAGATCCCAGGCATGCTTGCATGCTGGTCCCCACTCCTGCACTCAGGATCCTGCACGATGGATTTAGAAAGCCAGGAGGTCACATGGCTCGTGAAACACCACGAGGGGGTGGGGG